GTGTAAGGATGAAGGATTGAACGCAAAACTCTACAGCAACAGGGCTACTGCTTATTTTTACATGGGTGAGAATCGATTTTGTTTTGTAATTTTTTAACTTTATGCACGTTGAACCATCGGAGCCGTCGTTCAGGCTAAAGATACCAGGCATTGTTCTTGATTTGATGCTGGGCACAAGAGCTCGTAAGTTTTTTTCGTTTTGAACACACTGAATGATCAGCTTGGATAGCTTGATAGATCAGCGTAGTTTAAATTTCGTTAACTGTGCGTGTGATATTCCTATGGTCATGTTTTTGCTTTAAAATTTTACTGGGTGTGGCTTCCGCAATTCATGGAAAGTGAAAGACCGTCAGAAAGCAACGACAACGTCACTGAACAAAACGAATCGATCTGGGGTTGTTTAATTTCTATACTTAATAGTGAAATTACAGAACAAATGTTAAGTTACATGTAACTTGTTGTTTATCGTGAAAGTTTGCCGGTGGAGCCACTTTTGTTGTTTTGTTTCTTAGCCCACTTGTAACTTTCAATTCTTTTGAAATATATCAGTTTAATGAGCACCCATTCTTCCTACAGGAAATTATTACGACTCACTAAGGGATGCAAAAGCTGCGATGCAATTGCAACCATCCTACCTCAAGGCGATTGTAAGAGGTAGGGTTATATTTTAAAGTGAAACATCTAAGTACTTTTTGATAATCTTTTGACAGTTTCTCGTATCTTGCACCGATTGTCATCGCTCATGTGATCAAATTTATCAATACAAGGTGGAAGTCGATTCCTTTGTAGGCATTTAGGTTTTTCTTTTAGTTAGAAAAACTCTGTTCTGATGTTTCGTAAACCGGGTAAATTTGTACGCTTTATCTAGTTGTAGCCTTGTCCAGGCGTTCAGTTGGATGGATGGAGCGCAACGCGAAAAACGGCCAACGAAAAAAGTAGAGAGGGACTTGTTGTGCCTTCCCACGCTGCGCTTCTCCCCTTTTTTTCGCTCGCCTTGTTTTTGCGTTGCACTCCAACTATCTAAACGTCTAAAAGAAATTATCTTAATTGAATCAGAAGAGCTTGTAATGTAATTAAGCTCTTATGATTCAACACTTATGAATGGAAGGCATATAATTCCACTTTATTAGCAAGATTTAGTTTCTAAAGGTCAGTAACAGCATTAAGTGTATTCAGAGAGGGCCCAGATAGGGGTGCATTTAAAATCACAGTTATCAGTAACATTTTCGCCAATTTTTGGCTTTCATTCAAGATTTCAGCGCATTCCTCAGCGGTAGTAACGTTTACAGATCTCAGCTACAAGTTAAAAAACGCGTTAATTCTCAGCTGCATGGCAGTTAAAATTTTAACTAATTCTTAGCTATCAGTTAACCCTATTCCTACCCTCTACTAAGCCTTAAGAGGTCGTTTGAGCCATTGCATATTTTAACTAGGGAACGTCTTCCGATAGGGATAACTTCTGACGGTTCCTTTTATGTTTTCTTTTACATGAATAATAAATCTTGATTTTGTGTGCATTGTATAAAAAAGACAGATATCATCATTTAATAAAGTGTAAGGAAATCATTGATATGGCTTTTTAACATTTTATGTCACCAGGGGTAGAGGCGTGTGTTCAGCTGAATCAGTTTGAAGAAGCCATCGTGTTTTGCGACAAAGGATTAGCAGTATCCTTTAAAACATTCTACCTTGCCCTACTCTTCTTTGCATTGCGCGTAAACAAAGTCTGGAAAATGGGGAGAAAGGACATTTTATTTTGGGCTCTTCATGTATGCATGCATAGAAGGAAAAGAAATCAGTTCGAAAGTAATCGGGAAATATAAATGTCGCTGTAAATTATTTTACAGTTGTCTCTTAAATAATTTTGATATTTAAAGTCGGCTTGAGCAATTCAGTTGTTACCTACCTTAACTTCAAGAAGATTGACAAGAATGATCGAAAGTTGTTGGAATTGAGGAAAAGGGCTGTTAAAGAGCGAAACAAGCTGCATGAAACAAAAGAAGCGAGAGAAAATTCCGATACTCAGACTGCGAAAAGCATGGTAAGGTTGATAACAAGATTAATGTGGAAATCAGCATGTCATACGACGCAGAAAAAACTAAGGAATATACATGTGTTAGAAACTGGATCATTGGCTAATCAAATTCAAGAGTTTTCATTGGCTTAGCCATCATGGTATATGGGAGCAATTATACCATGCTCGACAAATATGGTGAGCGTTCGCAATTTCAGGGGGTGGGGCGTTTTTGTTTCAGTTTTCTATATATGGGGGGCGATTTTAATAAAACAATTATTCCACTTGCGTTTGTTAGATATAAGATGATTGTAGCCAAAGAGGCGCGTAGCGCCGAGTTGGCTATCTATCATCTCATGTCCAACGCGGGCTCGTAGAATAATTGTTAAATACATATATGGGTTATAGATCAAGCGTGAGATCAAGATGGCTAGCTAGATCTTGGATTTTTACGTGTTCAGACAGAGACGCAGTCATTTGTTCCTGTTTTGGAGCATTATCACAATGCTTGCCTTTCGACGTTTTGAGAACCAGGAAATCAACAGCCAACCGGCAACGGTAACGGCTAACCCCAACCCCACGGGTAACCTGAGCGGTCAAGATTGCATGTTCTGTTAAAGTAGTCAGTCGCGAAGTCAAGATTAATTAAATTTATTTCCCGTTGCCCGCTCGCAAAGCTAACCATATACTATTAACAAAACACAACCA